CATGAACAACACAAAAGAAATGAAACCTTCCAGCCCCGCTCCTGAGGTGAAAAAGGTGCCCAGGCTGCGAATATTCATGGGCAGGGCATCTGTGGGAAAATCTCTGTACCTTCCACCCAATCTGCTGTGAAACTAAAACCACTCTGAAAAATAAAGTCTAGTAAAGAAAAAGGTGCCTAGAATTCTAACAAGTGAGAAAAATAAAATTAAATTCTAAAAAAGAATTATAATAATTGTTTACAATCGCCAAAGTGCAGAAAAGTATTAAAATTATTCTCCCATTACTTTAAAAAAGCAAATGCTAAAACAAAAAGGGGAAGGATTCATTCATTTATTCAATAAATATTTATCAAACTCCTACTGCATGAGTCAGGCATTGTTTCCAGTGCAGTGGGAGATAACTCTTTCATTGCTGCCTCTCAGGGGTGCGCGGCACAGTCAGCGTCGCCACAGTCAGCTCAGTGTGGGGTGCACATGGTATGTCTGGCATTGTCCTGAAACACAGGTTTAAAAAGTGCCTATGTACAGTCATGACAGACGGTTTTTACTAAGTTAATCAATCAGTCTTATTCAGGTCTCTCTGTTCACCTTTTTTCTTCTTTTTATTGAGTCCAGAGAGAGGGGTAGGGAGGGAGAAAGAGAGGCAGAGAAACATCGATGTGTTTGAGTTGCCTCTCACACGCCCCCAACTGGAGACTAAAGCTGCAACCCCGGCATGTGCTCTGGCAGGGACCTGAACCAGCAACCTTTCGGTTTGCAGGACAATGCCCAGCCAACGGAGCCACACCAGCCAGGGCTCTCTGTTCTCTTTCTTGCTTTTAGTATTTTGGGCTCCTCTATTTCTTATTAACACCAAAATAAGGAAATAAAGATGGCAGCAAGGACACTAGGAAACAAAAGTAGCTTCTGTCACCCAGAATTTGCTACCTGCAAAGATTAGAATGATTATGAGGAAAGCTAAAATTTTGAATATGTTTATTCACACCTCATAGTAATGGTCAAGCTAATAAAAAGTTGAACTGCACTTCCATAACTTGTCACTTCTTTCTAATAAGTAGGAAAGAGAAAGAAAAAAAAAACTTCAAAGGTAAGAAACTCTTGCTTTGCCATTTCTCCAATGACCAGTCACAACTTCAATAACTCTGTGCAAACTATTTACCCTATTATCTTCACTTTTTAAACAAAGTCTTGAGCAAATTCACTTGGTTCTTCTTACAAATATAAATCTCTTTTGACTCTAATGTTGTAGGCTAGAGTTAAGACCTACTTTGTACATTTTCACCAAAAAAAGTGGGTATCCTTCAACATATATAATGTAACTTAGATTCAGATAGGCGTCTTGCACATAAGTAGCTGCTCAATAAAAATTCTAAAACTTTGATTAAAAGGCAATGGTATGAATAGTTGTACAGAAATAATTTTATTGTAAACCAATCTCTTTAAAATAGCCATTTACACGTTGACCTGATACAAAATAGAAAGCCCCAATTTAAATATAAACTAAGCCAGTAAATTTATTACAAATAATGGGCTTTGAGTCCATTTTTAGAGTTGTATGATAACTTCCTGACATTTCTAAAAATTTCCTAGAATATGAAAGTATACTCCTGTACAAGTGTTAAAAAAGAAAGAGAGCCTTGGCTGGTGTGGCCCAGTGGCTTGAGTACCGGCCTGAGAACCAAAGGGTCGCTGGTTAGATTCCCAGCCTAGGGCACCAGCATGGGTTGCGGGCCAGGTCCCCGGTAGGGGGCGCGCCAGAGGCAACCACACATGCATGTTTCTCTTCGTCTTTCTCCCTTCCTCTCTTCCCCCCTCTCTGAAAATAAATAAATAAAATCTTAAAGAGAGAGAGAGAGAAAGAAAGAGAGAGGTTTTGCTCCCTCTGCAAAGCAGGATGTGGCCAGAAAGTAAGCCTTTCATGTAAAGTGCACATTAGAAACCTGGAGTTTCTAAAAGCCTATCTGATAAGTCATTTCAGAGCGAGCTTACGCATCCAAAAGCAGACCTAAGAGGGGAGTTCTCAACAGAATGTAATAGACAGTTAACAGTGTTATGTTTTCCTGAGAAGATACAAAACTTTTTAAGTCTATATGGACTTGGAGAAAAGTCCTAAAAGGTGTGGACACCTGAAGGTGTTTGCGAAGGCCTATGAAAGCTGCAGCCACCTGGTCCAAGTAACTGAGGGCACCCAAACCACGGCTCCATCTCTCTCCATCCAGAAGCGTAATCCGGCCAAGTGGTGCTTGAGCGCCCCGTCATTATCTCATTACACATGTGCACAAGCCCAAAGCCGCCGTTCCTGGAAAACCCTCAATCAGGGCCCGGCCGCGCTGTCCCGCACCGCCCCGCACACGCGCGGGGCGGGGGTGGACTGTCTGGAACCCTTCATTAGTCCTTTTTAATTTTTTTTCCAAATCTCAAATACTAATAAAATAAGGCAACCGAAAATAGACCTTTTGTTGCCTTCATACTTCTTCGTATTTCATCTTAAAACTCAGATTTTGTGCTCCTATTATTAGTGCAAATAAATGTGTTATTCCTTTCCCTCCATTGAACTCTAAGCCACTCCAGGGCAAAAGCCAATACTCCAATGAATGCCTTTAAAAAGAAAAACAAAAACAACTTTTCACTGACCCGTACTTGCATATGTACAGCTGCTCACTGAGTCATTCTTCTTTATAAACTTGCTAAGCGAAAAGGCTTTCAAGTTCTTCACACACCCTCTTCCTTAAAAATCTTTTCCAATCGGCTTCATCACAGGAAAAAGACTCAAGCGCAAGCAGCCGAACGCACATCACCCAGCTGCAACAACAGCCCACTCTGGACTGCTTTTCTTTTTTAACTGTTTGTTTGTTTGTTTGTTTGTTTGTTTTTTATAGAGGAAGGGAGGGGGAAAGGGAAGGAAACATCGCGCGATTGCCTCCCGCGCGCCCCCTACCGGACCAAACCTGCACCCAACCCGCACCCTGCGCACTTGCCCTGAGCGGGAGTCCAACAGGTGCCGTCGCTTTGCTGGCGGGGAAGGACGCCCACACCGGTCAGGGCACAGGGCACGGCTGTTTTTCCGTCACCGACATGCCCACCCAGTGCCACCTCAAATTCTTGTGAAGCAAATCCAAGACTCTCGTATCGTTCACATATAATCCAGTTCCCATTTATTTTCAACGGCTCCGTCCACCCCGCTCCCGCAGGAGTGTGCAGAACAAGGCAGGCAGTGGGGCCTGGTTCATCGGTTCCCTGCTCGCGAACTGTCCTCTCTGGACCTCCTTCGGCACCACTCGCCCGCATCGCTGAAATGCCCCGAAATGCCCCTGCGTTCAGCCCCTTGAACCACAGCCCACTTCACTTAGAAATAGATTGTACTCCCCCCCCCCCAGAATCCCTTTTTCTTGTTTAAACAAGTGAAAAAAAAAATGTGCCAAAATTTCTATTCTCTTGATAAAAATTACTTCCGAGTTGTTCCTCCTTCCCCAGAGAAGGTGCTAAGAGCCAAAGGGAGTGGAGCAGGGATAGAAGGGGAAAGAAACACGTTTAAAACGGTAGATTCTGATGAACTAGGCGTGAGCAAGTATTTTCAGCCATCTGTTATTTTATTTAAAAAATGAATATTTGTAAACATCAGCCAAAATCTTGGGTTCCTTTAGACAGAGGGTGTTTATAAAATGAACTATCTTAATTTAAAGGGGCTGTTGCCTTCAGGATTTTGATTATTAACAGTAGGTGCTTCTGAGCCTAAGAATGGTTATATAAGAACAATTAAAGCCAAAAATAATAATAATTAAGGGAGGATGCGCCCTGTTTCTATAGCTCTAACCTTGTTTTATTTTGAGGTGAGATTTCTTGGCCTCCGCTCAGACAGCAGCCACCACCCCGCACTTGCTGCTCCACGCCCTTTACAAATGGAATTCCAAAAAGAGGCACTTTCGAGTCCCTCCCGGGAAATGTCTCCTCCGGAGAGCGGGATAATTGGGATTTCACCCCTCCTCCCTCTGGACACTGCGCCGCCCGGCCCTCGCCCAGCGATGAAGGCCCCAGGAGCCCAGGAGGCGGCATGGCAACAAGCTCCATCGCATCCCCGCAGCCTGCGCTCCCGGGGTGGCCTGCGTCCCACCGAGGCGCCCCCCCTTTCGCCCTGGATGGGGACACACGGCTTCAGACACCACGCGGCTAGTTTACCCACCACACCCCCAGGTGATGGAAACCGATGGGGCGCCCCTCGCCGCCACCTTCCCCATTTTCAACTGTTTCCTCCAGGCGGTTGAAAAATCATTGCCCCGCGAACGCCTCTTCCTGAAGGTGATCCCCCCTAACTTTCCCCTCCAGGCCGAACGCCGCAGTCACCGCAGCGAATTCAGGATCTGAGCTTCCCACCGAGAACTACAGATGCGCCCCAAACCGCCACAGGTCAAAAAGTCCTCGCCCCTAGAGAGAAGTCTCCACTTCCCGCCCCCGCGCCCCCAGCCCCAGGCGTGCGACCCAGCCCCGCCGGGGCCGCCCCGCCCCCGGGAGGAGCGCCGGGTCGGCCCGCACCTCCACGCGCAGAAAGCAGCCCTGGAACTCGGGACTGGGCGCCCTGAGAAATAACGCAGTCCCCAAACGCCGAGGGCTTCCACGCCCCCATCGAAGCCGGTCCGCGCGCCTCGGCTGCTCGCCCCGAGGGGACGAGCTTCTTCCCCGCAAACACCGCTGGCCTCCGGCCGCCTGGGGGACCCAGACCCGAGCCCCCTCCTCAGGCGGTCGGGCCACCCGGACCCGCGCCCCCTGCTCAGGCCGCCGGGGGAACCCACACAAGCTTCCCTCGCCTCGGAAGAGCGAATCTGGCTCGAACCTCCTGCTCGGGCCAAGGCCCACGAGGGGCACCCGGACCCGCGCCTCCCTCAGGCCGCGGGGACCCTGACCCGCGCGCCATCGCCTCCGCCGCGGCAGCCCGGCCCGCGTCCCCTGCCCAGACGCGCCAGGCGCCTTCCTCGGCAGCCCCGCGGGCCCAGCCCCTCACTTACCCAGAGCTCGGTGCCCCAGCTCATGGTGCAGGGGGCGGGAAGGGGCGCGCCGCGCGGCGGGCGCGGCTCTCCGGTCCCCCTCCCTGGCGATCCCTTCGCCCCTCGAGATCCCCGCGATCGAGGAAAGCCCGAGCCCGCGCTACCACCGCCTCCTCTGGCTCGCCGCTGCTCGCCCAGGGTCTCCTCGGCGGCTCCTCCTCCCGGTCGCTCTTCAGCAAAATGGCCCGAGGAAGCAGCAGCCCGGCAGCCGCAGCGCCGACCAGCCCGCCCCACAACCCGGAGTGAGAGGAGGGGGAGGGGAGGGCGGGGCGGGGCGGGGGCGGGGCCGCACGCTGGAGGCGGGGCTATCTGTCAGCTCGCGCACGCGCCCCGGCCCACCCTCCCCCAGGTGCCCTCCGCCAGGCGGGCGTCGCCCTAGGGGTGCGGAAGGACGCTGAGGGAGGCGGGAGGAGTACCCCCACTGATTTATTTTTTTTATTATTTAATAGCTACCGCACTGTTTGCTCTTAGGACAACCACTCTCCTTTGAACCGAGCCAGCCCCTATTATTACCAGTGCTCCGTGAGGCCCGAGGTTGCTCCTCTGCGCTGAGCGCCGCTGCGCGCAGGACAGTGCTTTTCCCCGGCAGCCATTCGCGCCGACCGGAGTTCGCTGGCGAGGCGCTTTCAGCACCGCGCGGGAGCCATGGAGGCCCAGGAGCCCTGCAGCCCTGCGCGGTGGGCGCGGGGCCTGGTACGGTGATGCTTGTGCACTGCAGCGATAGGGACGTCGAGCCCAAGAGCGATCGAACAGCTTCAAGCGGCTAGGGAGGGAAGCCAGCGGCGCACAACCAGTGATTTCTAATCTGTGAAACCGGTCGTTTCCAACTTGTTCAGCCAAGAAACGCTCAGACGTGAAATCACGTTGCCGCTTAGTGGGGGAAAAACAAAGCACTGGGTCCACAGATAAAACTGGTTTCAATCCAGCCTCCAGCACCTACTAGCTGGGTGGCCTGGGACAAGGACGCCACCTCTGTAGAGGCTCAGAGCCCCCATCTGCCAAATGGAGGTAACGCATCCACCTCAGCGTGTGCTGGCGAGGATCAGGGAGATAAGCGCCTGTTACCTGGCCTGTGGTTGGTAAACTGAGAGCTAATTTTTAAGTAGATACTGACTCCATCTCTTCGTATTCCAAAGGTCAACACAAATGCCCTCGACAAGCCGCGGCGAAATTTCGGAGTTTCAACTCTTTCCTCCGAATCGCTAGGCCCTTTCTCCTCACTTATGCCACTGACTTTTCTGAGTGACTGTGGGTTCCTAAAGTGGGTCACATTTCAGAAGTATTTCATGGTGCATCTCCCGGTTACCTACTGCGCCCACCCCGCAGCCACGACCGGTGAGTGTTATTCTCCGCCACGAAAGGATGGAGCTGAAAAACCCTCGCAGATAAACCTACAGGTCTACTTCCGTTGTTGGACAGAGTTAGAATAAGTTTAACCTGTCAACGCTATTTGGCTCTGTCTTTTTTCAGTTTCCTGACACCCCCTCGGTTTCTACTGTGTGTTTAAATGTTTTGCTCTCATAGTTACCAGGTCTGGGAACTCTTTACTCCAGAGACTCCGAGATATAAGACAATCAGAACCACCTACCTCCCCAGGCAGATTAATAGCCAGGGTGCATTGGAGGGGTAAGAAATTCAAGCACTGCATAGATAGGAACTGTAAGTGAAAAGCAGGTTATCTCTCAAGACCCTGCCTCTGTAATCACCTTGATTTCCCTGCCTGCCCCAGCTTCAATATTTTTTTATCAAACACAATGATCTAATCTCTACTGTTCTTGGAGACTTCTCAAAAACAGTGACCACTTGTGAAAATATGTTAATTAGAAGGAAAAGAAGCCTGCTGATCAAAAGAGAAAGAAGGAGGGGGAAGGAGGAAGAAAGAGCAGAAGTAAAAGACCACATAAAGATTAAAAAATAAAACTTTTAAGATGAGTAAGCAGGAAACAGTTACGGAGACCCATTAAAAGCCACAGCAGCAGAACTATATGTAACTGGGTTAAACATCTTTCACCTCATTAAGTTTGGGTGGTAACTGGAAAAGGTTTTAAAGTGTCAGATTTAAAATTAAAGAAAGAAAGAAGAAAGACACCGCTGATCTTGAAGCAATGGAAACAAACTGAGTTTGGGATAAAGATAAATAAGCCAGCAGAGGAAAAGATAAAATGAATACAGCATTTTATTTATTTATTTATTTATTTATTTATTTATTAACTGAGTCTACTCACTTTCCCTAATAGTAACAGGGAGCGATTCTAAAACAAGGAATAATTACTATTACCTAATCACTGTGGTAATAGTACCTGACATATTTAGGAATCAGCTCCACAGGGGGTATTCTAAACCCTGTCTATATATACACTGGAATTACCCAGGGGTTGGGGTAGGTTACGTACACTTGTATGTACACTTGTTTCACCTCAGTAACATCTACAAAGCACTGATTTACAAACTTCTGTTCTTGGTGGGTGACTACATAAATTTCCGCTGAATAATCTCATTACATGGATGTGATTAGCACTGAGATAAGGTATCTAGACAAATAGACTCTAGATAGGTGGCTGTGCTGTTAGAGACAAACAACTCCATCATGGTTTGCTCGTTTGTTTGTTTGTGGCTATTGTAATGGTGCTTGAAGTTAATAAATATCTAATTCAGGGGCTTAGAGGGATAGACGTCTCTATCTCTATCTTATTTTAAAGGAGGTAGGTTTTGTAATTGTTAAATTGGGGTCCTAGTTTCCACTGCTATTTGGGTGTGTGGCCTTTGGCAACTTGTTTAAACTCTCTGAACCTGTTTCCTTATTGGTGACATAGGGGCCTCACAGATTGTTAGGAGGCTGAAATATTAAGTTGGTGGGGAGCGCAGGCTTTATGTTAATCAGAGTTGGGTAGCTCTGTAGTGCTCTGGTTGAATTATTTTTCTGCTCTAAGCCTCAGTTTCCTCTGTAAAATGGAAATAATGCTACTTACATCAAAGGTTACTGCAAAAATGAAAAAAAAAACATGTACAATGCTTAGCATAGGGGGCACAAGTATTTGGCTCTTTTCATTTCCTCTTGTTTTCTGGAGGATTTGTACTTATCGTATCAAAGAAATCAATCCGTTAAAGCACTTCTGATGTATCAAGACAGCTTGCCTTAACTACAATTGATTGGTTTTCTATTGGTGAGGTACTATTCCTATTGAAATTCTCAGGATTTAAAAAAAAAATAGCTTCCACATCAGTCTTGGTTTAAAATTCTCCATTTGTTCAGCGTTCAAACTCTCTACTTTCTAAGGACCCAGGAAAGCAGTCAAGTGGAAGAAGTTGGAGTGGGATAAAAGTAGGAACTCTATGGAGGAGAATTTTAAAACTGCAACCAATTTTTGCACCTGATAATAGAATTTCCCTGAAGGTCTATAAAGATGTGTACAAAAATCAGGAAGATCTAGCTGTCCTATGGCTAAGTTACACATTGTTCCACCAAGAATAGAAATTTGAGGTTTTTCCTCAACCCACAGGATTCAAGATGTGTCAGGGCCTTGCTTCTCCAGGAAGCACACTCTCTGGAAGAAAATACCATGTGCTTCTCCCAGGCCCCAAGGAATGACATTTCCAGTCAGAGTGACGTCTGATTTCTAAATGTGCTGCCAGGCTCCAATTTGATCTCTACAGAAGTTTTACTCTTTACAGAAGTTTTGGGTCTGAAATATCAACTCTTTTGATGAGAAAACAAGTGGCAATTATACCTTATTACAACTGTAGAATATTAACCTATTAGTTACTTAAAAGATTTCTATAAATACCTAAACTGATGCCAAATATTAATCACAGGAGGCCCAAGCTAAAAGTTCTGCTACTAGTGGCAAACTTTGGTGGATCCTGCAAAGTTAGAGGAGATAGAAAAATTAAATGCACTGGACTGAGAATCAGGCTAAAAGTCAGGTTTAGATCAGTTTCTCCAGCACCCCCGCTCCAGGCCTTTTCAACCAATACCTTGCAGTTTAATGCCCCTTCGAAAAGATTGCCAGGGAGAAGCAGGCAAAACTTGTTCTGTTACTCATCATGTCTGTTTCCAGTTACAGTATCATGAGTATGCAAATAACCTTTTCTTGAAACTCTGAAATCATGAACATAAATATACTTGCCAACATAGCCGTTTTCACAGGATTTGAAAACTGCCTAAAAAATATTTCAGTTTATACAAGTCTTTGTATAGTGTTCCCTTTTTTATTTCTCTCAATTCCAAACTAACGACTGGAACAACATAGTTCTCAAATACATGTAGGAAGATATTCCTCATAAACCTTTGGACAGATGCCACTGGTACGTAACCCTATAGAGGTCACACAACAATTTCCAAATGAAAAGAAGCAAGACATAAGAACCAGGTTTAAGCTCTGGTAAAATTGTTTTCCAGAAACTAAAAGACAGAAATCTTCTATTTTATAAACTGTTTGAATGTTCAATAGTTATTATATTATTAAAGGAAATTAAGACTATTCCTGATCACTCCCCATTTGTAAAAGCCTATTACATTAAAATTGAAACAAAATATCCTAAAAAATGGTACCTCATTTTAAAAAGTAAACAGCCCTGGCTGGTGTGGCTCAGTGGATTGAGCACCGGCCTTCAAACTGAAAAGTCACCGGTTCAATTCCCAGTCAGGACACATGCCTGGGTTGTAGGCCAAGTCCCCAGCTGGGGGCGAGCAAGAAGCAACTAACCGGTTTCTGTCCCTTTCTTCCTGCCTCCCTTCTCTCTCTGAAAATAAATGAAATCTCTTTAAAAATGAAAAGTAAAAAATATCTCAAAGCCTTGAAAAATGCCTTTAAAAATGACACTGCACTGAAAAATCCCCTTTCCATTTAATAACTAGTTTTACACTGAAGTGAGAATCAGTTAACTGTCTTTGGTATTTCTCTTGATACCCTAAAGAAAATATCACTTATTTTATATTCCTAGTATGTTCTTTTGCATTGATGATTTTTAAAATGCTTTCTGAGAATTTCCCTAGCAGTTCATTTGATACCACAATTACTCAGATTCTGGGCTTTTCGCTTTTTGAAAAAAATTAAAATTAAAAGGGTTAGAAAGCCATGTATAGTATAGTGTGAGGAGCACAGATCCAATTCTGAGGCAGATGAGGTTTCAGTCCTAGTTCTAAATATGCCTGCTGAAGATTACGCCACTAGATGCATGACCCTGAGCAAGTCATATGACTTCCTTGGTTTTGTTTTCCTATCTGTTGGTATCTGAGGACCCTTCCAGCCTAATATACAAAAATAACTTTTTACAACCAGGTGGGACACATTAAGTGCAGGGCTTTGCAGATGGGTCCTGAATTGAGTTCTAGCTGGGTCATTGATAAATCAGTAACTCACCCTTGAATAAATTAACCTAACCAAGTCTCATTTTAAAAAAAGGATTACAAGTAAACACCTTATGAGGTTTTTGTGATATTGAATGAGATGTTTATATAAAGTACTTAGCAGAAACTTGGCAAATTTAATCACTCAATGTATATTTATGATTATCTCGCTGTGTGGACTCACAAAATAAGTTTATTTGTAAAATGGGGTAGTAAGATGAGATGACAATTCTGTTCAAAGATATAAGATTACATATTAGTAACATATAGTCAAAGATCTGAGGTTGGAGAAAGAAGGGATATTCTTCACCACCTAGTAAACATTGTCTTTCTGTCTTCCTGGAGCCACTCTTTGTCCTTGCAGAGGGTGTCACAGGACTGGTATATTAACTGTGTTTTTTTTAATGTGGCTTTAAAAAAATTTTTTAAAAATTTATTTACTTAGAGAGAGAGGGAGGAAGAGAGGGAGAGAAACATCGCGTGTAGGAGATCCATCGATCACTTGCCTCTTGCATGCCCACATCAGGGGAACCTGGTCCACAACCCAGGCATGTGCCCTGACTGGGAATTGAACCTGTACCTTTCGTTTCACAGGCCAGTGCTCAATCCACTGAGACACACTAGTCAAGGCTTGCTGCTGCTGCTTCTTTTTTAATTCAAGGGAAGAATTAATTGATTCACGACTTTTACTAAGATTGCACACAGCTAAAAAAATCTAGGATCCTCCCTTTCTTCCGCTCTCCACCCCTATTCTGTATTTTCCCAATGACTTTTTTAACCTGAATGAAGCACTTGAACTCCGTTAAAATATACCACCACAATTTCAGTTTCTAGTTCGTTAAAAACTTTAAGAATCTGATTCTGTCATAAAATACACTCATACACTAACAGTCACCTAATATTGGAATTTCTGGTGGTTTTTCTTTTCTCCTCTTTAGCTTCAATGACTTCACACAAAGAGCATGCCTTGCTTGAGTGGCAAGCTGAAAAAACCCCTTTTTTTTCACTTTTTTCCTTGTTTATTTTTTGAAAAAAAATCTAAAAACTAAATAAACCTGTCTAGTTTATTGGCAACTTTAAAAAGCATGCTCTTCTATAACTCCTTAATGAAAACGGTGAGAGGAGGAGACCAACTACTGAATCCTTTCCATTAAAGATCTCGCGTAGCCTTGCGTTAGACACACTGAGCTCTGCTGGTTACAGCCCTCATCAGAGCAGGTCTGCTCCCCAGGTCAGGGCACGTACAAGAATTAACCAATGGATGCATGAGATGTTTCTCTTTCTCTTCCTTCCTTCCTCTCTAAAATCAATAAATAAAATTTAAAAAAATTCCCCATAAATTCCACAGATGAGAAGAAAAAACGTCGACACTCTGACTCTAGTGGTCGGATGAAATAGCATGAGGCAATATAACACAGTAGTTGAAAGATGCCATGCGGTTCCCAGCTTAACCTGGAACAACTGACTTAAGTTTCTCAGAGCCTGAGTTTGCTTACCTGTGAAGTGGGGATACCACCACCTACCTCCTACCTCATTAGATTGTTTTAGGGATTAAGTGCAATAATGCATACAAAAGCTCTAACCAAGTGCGTAGTAATGGCTTAATAAATCGTATTACCGCAACGATTTCGTTTGAAATTTGTGTGTAGTGTCTCAATAAGTAAATAAAGGGACCTATGACAAGCCAGAACTTGCTATATTCCACCGAGTCGACGCTGCTCATATAATCGATTCAATCAACCGCCAGGCAGGGCGCCGTAGCCGGTTGTGAGATATCCCCACCCTTGAAAGCGCCGGGGTCCCTCCCGCGGTCGGGGTCTCGCAGGCCCAACGTCGCTTTCCTAGCTCCGCGCGTTGTAGGTGTGGTCCGCACTGTTTCCGTGACAGCAGCCACAGAGTTCCCCGGCCTGGGGGTTCCACCTCTCCTGGTTAAACCGAATGTCCGCACAGAGGATGCCGAACAAACAGCCCCTTGGCCACATTCCCAGCTACTCATTCGAGGAGAACAGCCACAGACACTGCGCCGTTAGCCCCGCGAGCCCGCGCCTCCGTGCCCTTCCGGCGGCCGCTGCCCTTTACACCCGGAAGTAGCTATAGAGAGAGGAAGCAGCTGGTGATGCTGGAACAAACATGGCCGCCCCGGAGCCCGTCGGCCCCTCGGGCTCCAGCTGTCCTCGGCGGGTCGCGGGCTTCTGGTTTCTTTCGCTACTAGGACTGCTGCAGCTACTGGCGGAGCCCGGCCTGGGCCGCGTTCACCACCTGGCGCTCAAGGTAAGGCCGCTAGGCCCCGGCGCGGCTGGGGGGCGGAGGCCGAGGCCGCTCCCTTGGGGCTGGACGCAACTTTGGCCCGGGGTAGGAGATGCTCTGAACGATTGCCCCCCACCCTTGCCGCCGGGAGCGGCCTCTCTGAGATAGGGGTCTGTTGGGAACTGTAGGAGTGGTGGGGGTCCTCGCGCCGTCTGGAAGGGATAGCAAGATTCAAGCTGACAGAGGGAAGGGGCAGAACTGCGGCGAAACTCCTGAGGACTCGGCAGGCCGCGCTTGCAATCCCTGCTGGCTTCCCCAGGTCCCTCGCTGACAGCAGCCTGCTCCTCTTCCTCCCTTGTCAGCTTCAACTTTTGTCCCCGACTTTAGCTGTCCGCGGTCTCCTCTCTTCCGTCCCCTTGTGCCTGGCGATTTGAAGATAACGTGAAATCTTAGCTTTAGTTTCCGGGTTCCGCTTAGGGAGCGCTCTGGAGTGATCTAAGGAAGGATCTCCGGGGGAAATTGCAAGTTTCGCTTCAGATACATGGCCGAGCATTAAAAATGTGTATCTACTGCGAGGGCCTTTTCATCCCTCGCTCTTGTCATTGCCTATCTAGGGAAGAGATTTATGAAAGTCCTAGAATGATCCTTTGGACCTAGCTTTGTAACTCACAACTAAAAGTCATCCAAAGCTAAAGCAGGCCGTTCAGCAGGTTAATGTATCTGGAGAATAGAAGAATAAATCGTTATGACTCAAATACTTGTACATGATTTTCATAATATGCAATTTTCTAAGAAGTTACGGGATTGTAGAAAGTTTGTCTTATTAAAACTCTAACAAACCCCGAGGCATTATTTTTGGGGAACGTAGAGTTTAAAGAATGCAGAATCCACTAAAAAGCTTGGCCAGACCCATACACCATACTTTTGGGTTTGCAAATAAAAATTATTTTGATTAAAATGGTTCTCAACTGCAGGGAGCTAGGTGAGTCTTGATTCCTTTTGAGAATCTGCTAAAAGCTATAGAACCCCTCCCCAGAAAAGTGCAAGTAAAAGCATAGACAAAACTTGCATGGAATTTCTAGGGCTTTATAATCCTGCTGAAGCTTTTCCGTAGGCCCCATCCCCCAAGCTTATGACTCCCAAGTTCAGAACACCTAATCTTCAAAATTCTTTAATTTTATAGTTTAGGATCCCAAGGCTTAGATCAAATAATAGAACTGAGGTCAAATAGTTTAAATATTAGAGACAAAGCCAATAATAGGACACACTGGATCACGTCTCTTGGCTTCTAATACAGTACTCTTTGTATTGTACATTTCTAGAATTAAAATATCATGTGGTATCACTAGGTAAATATTGACAATTGGTATATGTAGATTGAAAGAATACACTAATCTTAGTGATAGAAGCAAACTGAATGGTACAGTTCTGGTGATTGATTTCTCCCTATTGTGCCACGTTACTTAATGTTTTTAATCTTCGTAACATGTTTCTTAAGTACTCTTAAAGTAAATTCTAACTTCTTGCTCAAGCAAATGAAAATCACCTGAGTAGAGCCTATATGAATCATCAACATTTTATTGCCTTGCTTTGCTTGAGACTGAAAGAAATAGGAGACTTGATCAAGTTATAGACCCAGACTGGCAAGAATAACATGTAGAGAGGTCACTGAGTACCAGAAATATGCATTGATCTTTGAAAAAAACTTTTTATCATAGAGAATTTCAAACATATAACCAATTAGACTCGTATAATGAACTCCTATGTAACTGTCACCGAGCCTCAATAACTGTTAATCAGTGGCTAATTCTGCCCCAGCCATACACACATCACTGCTTGCTTTACATTTCTTTTATGTAATTTTTAAAAACATTATTTACTTTTAGAGAGAGGGAAAGGGAGGGAGAGAAACATCAGTGTGTGAGAGACACACGGTTGTCCCTTGCTTGCCTCTAGCTGGGGACCTGGCCTGCAACCCAGGTGTGTGCCCTGACTGGGGATCTAACCTGCGACCTCTCAGTTCACAGGCCGGCGCTCAATCCCCTGAGCCACACCAGCCAGGGCAGCATTTATTTTTTTTTAAATGAGAAGCAAGTTCTTTCATTTCTTTTCTTATTCCACTATTTTTCTGATTTTCTCAGTCTTCTTAAATTCCTTCTCTTTTGATGTTCCTGTAGATTCCTTACTTTTTTTTAAAAAAAAAATTCTATTTATTTTTTAGAGAGGGAGAATGGGAGGGAGAGAAACGTCTATTGGTTGCCTCTCGCATGCCCCCAACTGGGGAACCTGGCCTGCAACCCAGGCATGTGCTCTGCCTGGCGACCTTTTGGTTCACAAGTCAGCACTCAGTCCATTGAGCCACACCAGCCAGGGCAGATTCCTTACCTTTTAAAAATAACTATATTGAGGTATATTTTGCATACCATAAAATTTGCCTATTTTAAGTGTGCAGTTCAGTGATTGTTAGTAAATGTACTGACCTGTGCCACTATCACCGCACTCCAACCATAAAACATTTCCATCGCCCGTAAGTGACCCTTTGTGGCCCGCTTTACATTTATTCCCACCCCAGCCTCAGGCAACCACTAATCTACTTTCTTTCTCTATAGATTTGCCCTCTCTGGATATTTCATATAAATGGAATCAAAGTATGTGGTCTTTTTGTGTCTGGCTTCTCTTTACGTATGTCTTTGAGGTTCATCCATGTTGTATCGTGTATTAGTAATTGATTCCTTTTAATGGCTAAATACTATTCCATTGTATGGAGATACTGCATTTTGCTTAGCCCTTCACCAGCTGACGGACATTTGGGTTTCCATTTTTGGTCATTGTGAATGATGCTGCTACCAATGTCCATGTGAAAGTCTTTGTGGGGACATATGTTTTCATTTTGTGGGGGTGCTTCCTAGGAGTGGAGCGGAATTGCTGGGTTTTATAGTGGGTTTATATTTATTTATTTTTTTTAGGTATAATTGATATACAATGTTATATTGGTTTTAGATGTACAACATAGTGATTTGACATTTGTATACATTGCAAAATGGTCACCACAGTAACTCTAGTTACCATCTGTAACCATACAAAGGTAATATTTCCTATGCTGTACAATACATCTGATTTTTTTATTGTATAACTGGAAGTTCATATTAATTCCCTCGTTCCACCATTCTCCCACCACCCTACCACTCCTCACTCTACCTCAGGCAACCACCACTCTGTATCTGTGAGTCTGGGTTTTTGTTTGTTTGTTTTGCTTTTCTATATACTTAACTTTTTAAGAAACTGCTACTACTTTCCAAAGTGACTATGCCATTTTACATTTCCCCTTTTCCCCCAGCAATTTATGAAGGTTCCCCCCTCTTTTTTTTATCCTCACCCAAGGATATGTTTATTGATTTGAGAAAGGGGAAGGGGAGGGGGGGGAGAGAGGGGAGAAACATCCATCAGCTGCCTCTTATACGAACTCTGGATTAGGGGACCAAACCTGCAACCTAGGTGTGTTCTCTGGCTGGGAATGGAACCCGAGGCCTTTCAGTTTATGGGAGGATATGCGAGCCAACCGAGCCACACCCACCAGGGCCCTTTTTTTTTTTTTTTTTTTTTTTTTTTTTTTTGAGAAAGAGAGGAGTAGGGCGGGAGAGAAACATCAGTGGATTGCCTCCAGTATGTGCCCCGGTCTGGAGATCAAACCTGCACCCTAGGTATGTGCCCTGACTGGGAGTTGGTAATCCCACAGCCTTGTGGTGTACCAGGTAATGTGCCAGCCAACCGAGCCGCCCAGCCAGGGCTGAAGGTCCCCCTTTCTGTACATTGTGCTGCCATGCCCAGGGACTCTGGGAGCACAAGGAGTCCTGTCTCTTTAGGAGAGGAGAAGACAAGGAAGATTTCCTATGAGAGGTAACATCTGGGTTCAAGCTTAAAGAAAGAGTTTACTTATTGGGAAAGGAATCAGCCAAGAGAAGCATACGGAAAGAGTAGAATAGTCCATTAAAGGGGACGGCCTAAGCGTAGTGGCAAGAAATCGTCCATTGTGCCTGATGTTGATGGATAAAGACTGAAGTGCAGCCCTGGCTGGGTAGCTCCGTTGGTTAGGTTAGAGCATCGTCCCCATACACCAAGGTTGCAGGGTCCATCCCCAGTCAGGGCACATACTAGAATCAACCAAGGAATGCATAAATGAGTGGAACAGTAAATCAGCATTTCTCTCTCCTCCCCTCCCTCTGTCTCTTGCTCCCCACTCCCCCCCTGCCACTCTCTCCAAAATCAATAAATAAAAAGGGTGAAGTACAGAGCAGGGGTGTGTAGAGGTAGGCCTTTATGACATGTGGAGGCATATGGATCCCTGTCTTCCAGCTTTGGGTAGCCCTGCATTTTTGTTTTGTTTTTAAAGATTTTATTTATTTTTAGAAAGAGAGAGAAACATCAATGTGTAGGAGATACATCAGTTGGTTGCCTTTCACAAGTGCCCAACTGGGGACCTGGCCCGCAACCCAGGCATGTACCCTGGCTGGGAATCAAACCGGCAACCCTTTGGCTCACAGGCCAGCACTCAGATCCACTGAGCTACACCAGCCAGGGCAGCCCTGAAATTTTTAGGCTGGGAGTGACTAAATAAGATTTGCATTTAAAATTTGGTCTTTTTTTAATTGATTTTTTAAAAATTTATTGATTTTACTTTTATTTTTTTAATTCTCACCCAAGGATATGTCTGTTGATTTTAGAGTGAGAGGAATGAGGGCGGGGGGTGGCGGGGGGACAGGTAACAAGAGAGAGAAACGCCGGTCTGTTGCCTCCCGTATTCACCCCTACCGGGGAATTGAACCTGCAACCTAGGTATGTGCTCCGACCAGGAATCGAAGCTGTAACCTTTTGGCATACAGGACAGCGCTCAACCAACTGAGCCATCCAGCCAGGTATTTATTGATTTTAGAGAGAAGGGGGGAAGGGAGAGAGAGAGAAACATCAATTTGTTGTTCCACTTATTTATGCATTTATTTGTTGATTTTTTAAAAAGATTTTAAACC